CTCAACGTGCTTAATAAAACACACAAAAGTAAAACAATTACAAGAGCTGGTCATGTGACTGCAGTTGCTGTCTGTGGTTGTTTATTTAGCTCAAATCGAGAGGAAGTCATAATTGTTGGAGCAATAACAGTTTGTAAGGAGTGCGATCTGAGCGACAGAAACTTGGCTCGGACTTGAAAGTTTTATATAACCGTGTACAATCCTGTTCAAAGGTCAGCCTTGTCGATCACCTCTGTACAGTTCAAGATACCAAAGTACAACCCGAGCGTGGTTTGTCAGGCCTTTGTTGAGCTCTACAGGATTATTTTTGTTACATGTTTTCAGGGCAGACCCAGACTTCCACCAGCCCTACTCTACTCTACTCTACACTACCCTACCCTACCCTACCCTACCCTCTGCCCTGCTCTGCTCTGCTCTGCTCCCCTCCACTCCACTCCAGCCAATTTTAATAGCCACATCAAATCAGTAACATCAGCAGCTTTTTACCATCTAAAAAACATCGCCAGGATCAAAAACATAGTGTCTAAAGCAGACTTGGAGATTCTTATCCATTCTTTTGTCTCCAGTAGGTTAGACTACTGCAGTGGCCTGCTCACAGGTCTGTCCAAACAGGCTGTAAAACAGCTGCAGTACATTCAAAATGCAGCAGCTCGAGTCCTGACTAGAACCAGGAAGTACGACCACATTAGTCCAGTCCTCAGGTCTCTGCACTGGCTTCCTGTGGCTCAGAGAATAGACTTTAAAACAGCTTTGCTTGTGTAAAAGTCTCTCCATGGCCTCGCACCAAAATATATTAGTGACATGTTAGTACCATACGAACCAGCCCGGACTCTGAGGAGCACAGGGACTGGACTCCTGTTAGTGCCCAGAGTCAGAACTAAACATGGGGAGGCTGCTTTTCAGATTCATGCTGCTAAAATCTGCAACAGTCTTCCTGAAGATGTGAGACAGGCCTCCTCTCTGACAATGTTTAAAACCAGGTTAAAGACAGTTCTATTTAGCTGTGCATACAACTGAGGAATTTTATATTTTTATCTTTCTTTTTAATGTTCTGTGATTATTTATGATTTTAATGCTTTCTTATTCTGTTCAGCACTTTGAGTTGCCTTGTGTATGAATTGTGCTATATAAATAAACTTGCCTTATTCTACTCTACTCTACTCTACTCTACTCTACCCTACCCTACCCTACCCTATCCTACCCTACGCTACTCTACTCTACTCTACTCTACTCTACTCTACCCTACCCTACCCTACCCTACTCTACTCTACCCTACCCTACCCTACCCTACCCTACTCTACTCCACCCTACCCTACCCTACCCTACCCTACTCTACCCTACTCTACTCTACCCTACCCTACCCTACCCTACTCTACCCTACTCTACTCCACCCTACCCTACCCTACTCTACCCTACTCTACTCTACCCTACCCTACCCTACTCTACTCTTCTCTACTCTACTCTTCTCTACCCTATCCTACTCTACCCTACCCTACCCTACACTACTACCCTACTCTACTCTACTCTACTCTAATCTCTATCTTGCATATACTAGGATTGGACAGACCGAGTGTGACATCACAGCAGTGTTTGCTGAATGCGGAAGAAGCCGAACAGCTAAACATAAGCTAGCTGGAGCCAATTTCCATTTTTTTATATGGCCATTTGTTCTGACGGCGTGAGCTTTGAGCTGTAACAGGGGCAGACGTGTTGCTAAGACGGTTGCTAAGGCAAGCTAGAGTTTTCCCTGCAAGTAAAGGCTTCTGATTGGTCAATCCTTAAATGCTCACGGTGTCACAAAGACAATATCACCATATATAAACACCAGTATCACAGAATGCGCTAAAACAATTTTTAAATCCCAAAATGGTGAGTGTGACACAACGAATACTGAACTTGAGGAGTTTACTTTTACGTGCAAGTCAATAGGAGCCAGAGCGAGATAGGGGTAAAACTTCATCCATGAATACTTCCCTATTGGGCTACATCGAGCTAGCAGGTTAGCATTATCCATCTGTAAACAGTCATGATTCATACAATGTTGCTTCTACAAAATTATTTCCATTGGGACAAACACAATATCTTGCTGATGGGGAAAAAGTGTGGTACCCGAGCTTTAACTATCCACACTCTGAGCGTAGGTGGAGCGTAAAGAGGTGTTTCGATGCTAAAAGCGTCTGCAGGCGAGCGTTTGGACGGGACGCACTGTGCTCTGCATCTGCTCTGGGCCGCGCTCCAGAAAACCAGCTCAGCAACAGGTGATTCAACACCACTGCTGGTATTTGGAGCTGAACGGATGGTGTGGACAAGCCAGGCCAAATCCTAATTATGAACCTAATGCTGGCTCATTTTCCAGTCAAACTACTTTCAATTGTTAGTAAGTAAGAAATAGGATAAGATTAGTTAATTCTTTATTTGTCAAATTCTCTCTGGTCTCGCTCTGGTCTTTCTCAAGCTCTGGTCCTCCCAGTCCTGTGCAGACAGAGTAAAACGTGAGCGTTCTGACCAATCAGAGTACAAAGAGCAGAGTCAGTGGCAAAAATTTATTTATTTTTTTAAAGAAAAAAAGCATGGATTTAAACAGAAAAAAGTTTAGGATGATGAGGGACACAAAAATCCTCAGTAAATCCTCCTTTGTGAAAGCTGTACTTCCCTGTTTTAGTGAACACTGAGGTCTAAGGGTAATTCAATCTGGAAAGACTGCATTACAATATTGTCAAGATGCGTGACCCATTGATTGGGCACTAATATATTTATTGCAGTTGAGCATGAAATGTTCATTAGGCTTTGCGATTAGACCTCGGCAGGAATACTGCATGACGTATGCAGAAGGGAGTTTAATAGAAAAAATGAGCTTTCGACCCCACTAGAACTAGCTCGGTTTAAATGCAGCCATGGAGTTATAATGAGCACAGATGTGTTACTTGAGCTCAGGTGCAGAGGGCGGAGTCAGGGCAGAGGGCGGAGTCAGTGCAGAGGGCGGAGTCAGTGTGGCGGCATGATGTCTCTTTGGTCTTCCAGTCTGATTTTACGCATAAGCTTCATATCTCCTTCCTTGTGGATTGAGGCTGCAGTACCGTGTGTGACCTCTTCTCTACGTGGAGACATTTGCTGTGAATTGTGTTTAAGATTGAGAGATCCTTTATTCGTTCCCCAGTGGGGAAATTTCAGTGTTGCATCACAAGTTATAGAACAGTAGGAAAGGGGAGCACACGGCACAAGATAAGTGAACAGCTATACTAATAAAAATAAAACAAACTCTCTAACTCTAGCGTCAATAAAAGTAAGAAATCTCTGAATCTTGATTGGGATGATGTATTTCCTCATGTAACAGTATAATTCTCTGGTTTGAACATATTTCTGACGTGCTACAACAAGAAACAGTAGCCTGATTTAAGTCAAAGCCAATGACTCACAGTAATATGAGATTTATTACATTCTTCTTTGAAAGACTTTTAAAATATTTTACACAAATGGAATAAAATAGATTTGACATGCAATTTCATACTTAAAGCTACGGTACCCCACTTTCAACCCTCAAAAAAACCATCTTATACAGTCCAAGCACTGCTGTTGTCCCTGCTGTAGCTGTCAAAAGCCGGACGACCGCAGATCACCTTTCGCAGCCTCGCTGTTTAGCACATTTTTGTGAATAGATAGTTAGTTATAAAGTAGTAAAGTCAGAAGCTGTTTTCTTCGGACTTTAATACAAGTCTAACTATCTGTACTGTACCAATCATCTTTGCAAACACTATGTAAACTATCATCGTTTTTTGTCACATCGTTCTGATCACAAATCACACTAAACAAACACGTCTAATCACGTTCAAAGAACACAATGTTCCTTTTTTATTGCACCGTGCCATTTGTCTCAATGTCAATGCCATTCAAACTTCAACAATCCTCCTTATGTCAATGAAAACCACGCCCCATAAACCGTTACATCTCTGGCTGACATTTGGTCTTTGTCCCGACAGGATGAAAGTCACATAGTTGAATGCGTGGGCCGCTGGAAAGTTGGCACAAAGCGATAAAGCTGCTTTAATTACAGGCACCTGTGGGAATTTGGCAACGCGACCCTATGGGAAAGCATTGATATTTCAATGTTGTTTGAAGCCTTTTATTCTGAAATAGATGTGTTTCCTAACCCAGGACACGTTGCAGGTACTGTGTCTCTCAGCTGGCCTGGGAACGCCTCTGGATTTCCCAAGCCTCTGTGATCCAAGATGGCGTCCTATTCAAATCAATTGCTTGTGCTCAGTGGTGCATGGGACCACCGTAGGCACCGAAAGAGTGGCGGAACTCGATCATATTTGGATATTTCTCTAACAACCTCCCACGATGCTTGCCCAAAATACTAACGAGCAAGCGTGTGTGGCTCTCATGCACGTGCACAGAGGGGCACGGCAAGGGTCTGACCAATCAGACGACAAGAGACACCAAAATCCTCACTAAATCCAATCTTCAGGAGAGCTGTAGTTTGTGTGTCAGCTGAGGTCAAGTTGTTTTAATTTGCACTGAGATCTATGGGACATTTTTCTGGGTAGCCTTCATGAATTTAGTCTGCAGTACCATAGGTGCCGCCCCGCGCCGGCGGGGGTGACAGTGTAAGATGATATCACTCTATCCGGTTATTATAATAGATCCATGGGATTTCCCCAAGTGTGCCGGAGGAAGTATGTGTGTAGAGGGAAGTCTGGGTGAGTCTGCAAAAATACAAGCCCGATCTCACGGTTCCTTCGTGCAGGTGTGCGATAGTCTCTGGGGGCGGTAGGATCATCCTTGGTCTTGAACACTCAGGTGAAGCTTAAGCCTGTGATCGGGTCTGAAGCCACTTGATCCAATTGGACTCTGAACTCTGGCCAAATCCACCATCTATCTGCCTATATGGGATTGGCAGTGTGTTTGTGCAGAGTGTGCACATAATGTAAAACCCGTTTGAAACAAATACATGTGATTGATACGCACACAACACTGACTGCCCTCTCGTCTCCCTGCAGGCTGTGACTCTGGGTTTGGTTGGGCCACGGCGAAGCACTTGGACTCCCTGGGCTTTGAGGTCTTTGCCACAGTCTTGGATCGGAGTGGAGACGGCCCCCAGGAGCTGCTTCGGAGCTGCCCTCGGGTCACTCTGCTTCAGGTGGACATCACACAGCCTCAGCAAGTCCAGCAGGCCCTTTCTGAGACCAGGGCCAAACTCGGACTCAGAGGTGAGACACAAAGACACAAAGAGTGAGAGCAAGAGGTCATATTGGGCTTTATTAAGTTTCAGAATCTGCATTCAAGAGACATTTTCAGAGTGGTATAGTCTATTCATGAAAACAAATGAAACAAACAATACACAGAGGACCAACAACCAATGCTGTGTTAAAGCCAGAAATTTCCATAGCTTTTGTCCAGCCACGAAGAAGGTCCTGATTGAAACCATAGAGAAGGCCCTGTCTTAAGACCACAGAGAAGGTCCTGTCCCCCCAGGCTTAAGACCACAGAGAGGGGCCCCCCGACCAGTTTTCTATCCCCATTGACCACAGCAGTAGATCCCTTCAGGCCAAGTGGGTCAGGTGAGTGTCATCCTCAACAGCACGCTCTCTTTCATCATGATTTATTAGCTTTCAGTTCATGTCAAATGTTGCTATTGTGTCCTTGATCCAAGCGTGTCTTTGTGAATGTGTTTGTGTGATCGTAGCTGCAGACAGATCATTGGCAGAGCTGCAGCCACGATCCAACAACACTCAGGATGCAATGTTCCTCTGAGCTATGTCCACAACTCGGTGTATGTTTATTCACAGCTCGAGTGATAATTGACCCCGAGCGAGATCAGAGCGTGTCTCATTGATGATATGTCAAGCGTTTAGAGCTGGAGTAACTTTGCGACCACAAACATGAACTGTGTAATTCAATCCCTGTCACTAGTTCCTTGCTCTCATGTATTTTTGGCCTCTGTCACATCATTAGATCATCCACCTCAGCCAATCAGCGCTCGGTATGATAAAGATAACTTGTTTTTATGGACATTTATTAACATTTCTGGACAGTGGTCATCCTGCTCTCTATGGATCAGCGGCTCCTGTGTTTGTTATTGGATTCTGTGTGTTCAAAACGTTCTATTCTCTGATTTATTGTTGATGAATTGACAACTTTCTAAAGTCCTCTGAGCCGCCTGCTGTTAAAAGGTAAAGATAGACTGTCTGTTGAGACAAAACAATGTATTGATGATACAAAAAAGCTTTAATATCATTACATCCGACTTCCCTCTCCAACACACACTTCCTCCGGCCTATCTGGGGGAATCCTGAGGTGTTCCCAGGCCAGCTGAGAGACACAGACCCCCCAGCATGTTTTTGGGCAGGCCCAGAACACCTCCCCAGAGAGGCGTCCAGGAGGCAACAGACCTCAATTCGCTCCTCTCCACATGGAAGAGCAGCGGCTCTACTCTGAGCTTCTCACTATCTCCCGGCCACTCTGCGGAGGAAGATCATTTTGACCGCTTGAATACACAAACTCGACCTTTTGGTCATTACCCGAAGTTTATGACCAGAGGTCATAAACTTCATCCATTCTCAGCTCTTGTGATCGACGAAACTCCAATGTGGCCCAGTGAGAAGATGCAGTGAACTCTCTTCAAAGTCAATTTCTCAGACTGTAACTTGTGCTTTCCGTAGTGTCCACGTGCACGAGTCCATTGAGAGAACAGCTGTGGTCTGTGAACAGGAAGATTGTAGCAAAGCGGAGTCACCTGAGGACTTGAGTGTGTGTGGGCGGCTCGTAAAGACTAAAGGATAAAGAGAGAATGAAGGCCACACAAAGGTCGTTCAACTGTTGAATATATGGCATTTTCTTCAAATGAATTTGTGCGAAAAACTCATGTCTACATCAATGGACAGGTGTTTAATAGAAATATAAAGGCTGCTGGCATGTTGTGGACTTTATTCATTCACTTTTGAGTTACAGTGTCTTGCGAAAGTATTCGGCCCCCTTGAACCTTTCAACATTTCGCCACATTTCAGGCTTCAAACATAAAGATATAAAAAATATGTTTTTTGACAAGAATCAACAACAAGTGGGACACAATCGTGAAGTGGAACGAAATGTATTGGATAATTTAAACTTTTTTTACAAATAAACTGAAAAGTGGGGTGTGCAATATTATTCGGCCCCCTTGCGCTAATACTTTGTAGCGCCACCTTTTGCTGCAATTACAGCTGCAAGTCGCTTGGGGTACGTCTCTATCAGTTTTGCACATCGACAGACTGGAATTCTTTCCCATTCTTCCTTGCAAAACAGCTCTTTCCACAGATTCTCGATTGGATTCAGGTCTGGACTTTGACTTGGCCATTCTAACACCTGGATACGTCTATTTGTGAACCATTCCATTGTAGATTTGGCTTTATGTTTTAGATCATTGTCCTGTCAGAAGATAAATCTCCGTCCCAGTCTCAGGTTTTTTGCAGACTCCAACAGGTTTTCTTCCAGAATGGTCCTGTATTTGGCTCCATCCATCTTCCCATCAATTTTAGCCATCTTCCCTGTCCCTGCTGAAGAAAAGCAGGCCCAAACCATGATGCTGCCACCACCATGTTTGACAGTGGGGATGGTGTGTTCAGGGTGATGAGCTGTGTTGCTTTTACGCCAAACATATCGTTTTGCATTGTGGCCAAAAAGTTCGATTTTGGTTTCATCTGACCAGAGCACCTTCTTCCACATGTTTGGTGTGTCTCCCAGGTGGCTTGTGGCAAACTTTAAACCAGACTTTTTATGGATGTCTTTGAGAAATGGCTTTCTTCTTGCCACTCTTCCATAAAGGCCAGATTTGTGCAGTGCACGACTGATTGTTGTCCTATGGACAGACTCTCCCACCTCAGCTGTAGTTATCTGCAGTTCATCCAGAGTGATCATGGGCCTCTTGGCTGCATCTCTGATCAGTCTTCTTCTTGTTTGAGATGAAAGTTTGGAGGGACGACCGGGTCTTGGTAGATTTGCAGTGGTCTGATACTCCTTCCATTTCAATATAATTGCTTGCACAGTGCTCCTTGAGATGTTTAAAGCTTGGGAAATCTTTTTGTATCCAAATCCGGCTTTAAACTTCTCCACAACAGTATCTCGGACCTGCCTGGTGTGTTCCTTTGTCTTCATGGTTCTCTCTGCGCTTTAAACAGAACCCTGAGACTATCAAAGAGCAGGTGCATTTATACGGAGACTTGATTACACACAGGTGCATTCTATTTATCATCATCAGTCATTTACGACAACATTGGATCATTCAAAGATCCTCACTGAACTTCTGGAGTGAGTTTGCTGCACTGAAAGTAAAGGGGCCGAATAATATTGCACACCCCACTTTTAAATTTTTTATTTGTTAAAAAAGTTTAAATTATCCAATAAATTTCGTTCCACTTCACGATTGTGTCCCACTTGTTGTTGATTCATGACAAAAAATTAAAATTTTATTTCTTTATGTTTGAAGCCTGAAATGTGGCGAAATGTTGAAAGGTTCAAGGGGGCCGAATACTTTCGCAAGGCACTGTATATACTTCCAGTCCGTCCATTATTGTCCAGGAATGTTTGCGTATCTGTTGTTAACCAAGATTTTGTTTTATTTGATCAAATTAAACTTTTATTTGCAGTCCTGCATTTTGGTTTCTTGTGTTTTTTGAAGATAGAGCCAATGGTCTTTAAGGGGCAGATGATCAAAATGTTAATATAAGTCCATAAAATTCCATAAAAGTCGTGGATCATCACCACTGTACTTAGACCCTCCTGCATCGGCAAGGAAACAAACAAAATTGTGATATTGTCTGATTGGTGCTTGGTAACTCCCGTTATTTGGTTCCACATTGTCGCTCAAATAGTTTGTTGGAGTCAGCTCTTGTGACGTCCACACTCAGTCAGTCCACTTCCTACTGAGATTCTTCATGTATCCATTTCACGTGTTTATCTATATTTTCTATTTAAGATATTTATTTCACATTCTAAATTATTGTCTCATTAAGATAAGATAAGATTTTCTTTATTTATCTCACATAGGAGAAATTTACATGTCACATTTGGCATGGATAGAGACACTCAGATTGTGCAAAAGGAGGAAATGTGCAAACATGTTACATGCAGGATATATGTACAATAAAGTGACAATAATTATGTACAACAAAAGTGACAAGTGTCAATTGGAAACAGTGTCAATAGTAGTGCATTATCATGTTTTAGGGACAACGTGAGGCTGTATTTTATAGCTGGGCAACTTATAATGTTCTCTTCTCCATAAAATGTAGTTTAAACATAAAAAGCTGTATGTTACAAAACAGTTGAACTATTGTAGAACCAAATTAAACTTGCTTCTCTCCAGTCCATGTTTCTTCTGTCGGCACAACATCCACAAAAAATGAAATGGAGACCTCCCAGTTAAACTCACTTATGCAACGTTTCCCAACATAAAAGTCAAAGGTCTATTGCCTTTATTGCCTTTTAAATCTCATTCTGTTACCGACAACACGTTTCTCCGAATTGCATAATTAAACTCGTATTTGTTTACCTTGCAATGAACCCTTGTGGACCCGCGCCAAACACTATTTCAGACAACGATTGCCAAAGACGAGGTTCAAACCCGTTCAGCCAGCACCCACATAAACACTGCTTAGTTCTGGCTGTGTGCGCTTTTGTGTTTCTCCTGGAAATAAAAGCCAACAGCCCGCCAGGAATGTTGATTTGAAAATAACATTAATTGCTTCCCATCATTCAAATGCCAATCTTGATTCGCAATCTTTGATAAAGGCCGAGCATCAATGGGGGTGTTGTGGTGTACCGGAGAGAAGCCGACTTTTGTCCAAATGATGAAGACAACGTGTGTTACATAAAGCTGATGGTAGATGGCAATGACAATTCAAAACAAGAAAAAAAGATGCCCCAGCTACAGTAAAAAAAAAAAATAAAATAAATAAAATAAAATAAAAATAAAAAATAAAAGGACACAGGCATCAGTCAATAAAAAAGTCAAAACAAAAGTAGATGGACAAATAATAGTATCCTACAGACCAGATATTCTTGGGTTTCATATGACGTCAGGGCAGTGGCGCGAAAAACAAACGTGGGACCGAACGTGACATATTCTGGCGGTGCAGTCTGCCGGGTTTATACACGAAGATATAGTAGAAGAAGAAGCGCTGTCAAAATGCCATATTTTTGTGCAGTGTACGCTTGTAGCAACCGCGCAAATAAAGAGAAAGACAAGAGTTTCTTCCGTGTTCCAACAGTGGGCTCATATAAAGGAGTACACTTTGAAAAAAATCTCTCTTTGGTCTCTCTCAAGTCTCTGTCTGGCCTCTCTCTGATCTCTCTCTGGTCTCTCTCTGGTCTCTTTCTGGTCTTTCTCTGGTCTCTCTCTGGTCTGTCTCTGGTCTCTCTCTCTGGTCTGTCTCTCTCTGGTCTCTCTCTCTGGTCTCTCTCTGGTCTCTCTCTGGTCCATCTCTGGTCTCTCTCTGGTCTCTCTCTGGTCTCTCTCTGGTCTCTCTCTGGTCTCTCTCTGGTCTCTCTCTGGTCTCCCTCCGGGCTCTTTCTGGTCTCTCTCTGGTCTCTCTCTCTGGTCCATCTCTCTGTGGTCTCCTTTCTGGTCTCTCTCTGGTCTATCTCTCTCTGGTCTCTCTCTGGTCTCTCTCTGGTCTCTCTCTGGTCTCTCTCTGGTCTCTCTCTGGTCCATCTCTGGTCTCTCTCTGGTCTCTCTCTGGTCTCTCTCTGGTCTCTCTCTGGTCTCTCTCTGGTCTCCCTCTGGGCTCTTTCTGGTCTCTCTCTGGTCTTTCTCTCTGGTCCATCTCTCTGTGGTCTCCTTTCTGGTCTCTCTCTGGTCTATCTCTCTCTGGTCTCTCTCTGGTCTCCCTCTGGGCTCTTTCTGGTCTCTCTCTGGTCTCTCTCTCTGGTCTATCTCTCTGTGGTCTCTCTCTGGTCTCTCTCTGGTCTATCTCTCTCTGGTCTCTCTCTGGTCTCTCTCTGGTCCCTCTCCAGTCTCTGTCTGGTCTCTCTCTGGTCTCTCTCTCTCTGGTCTCTCTCTCTCTAGTCTCTCTTTCAAGTCTCTCTCTCTAGTCTCTCTCTGGTCCCTCTCTCAGGTCTCTCTTTCAAGTCTCTCTCTCTGGTCTCTCTCTGGTCCCTCTCTCTAGTCTCGCTCTCTGGTCTCTCTCTCAAGTCTCTCGCTCTCTGGTCTCTCTTTCTGTTATCTCTCTGTTGTCTCTCTAGTCTCTCTCTCTGGTCTCTCTCTCTCTGGTTTCTCTCTATATCCAAAAAATATCCATCTGTGGCTGGGAGTGTAAACCTAACCTCTCCCCATCCCTCCTCAGGTCTGTGGGGGCTGGTGAACAACGCTGGCGTGTGTGTGAACTTCGGCGACTCGGAGCTGTCCCAGGAGTCGAACTTCCGAGGCTGCATGGAGGTGAACTTCTTCGGGACGATCGCAGTGACTCAGAGCTTCCTGCCTCTGCTGCGGAAGGCCAAAGGTCGCATCGTCACCATCTCCAGTCCAGCAGGTGCAGAAATCACACACTACACACTGGTCTCTCTATATTCTCTCCTTATTCTCTCTCTGGTCTTTCTCTGGTCTCTCTTTGGTCTCTCTCTAGTCTGCCTTTATTCTTCTCTGGTCTCTCTCTGGTCTCTATCTAGTGTCTCTCTAGTCTGTCTTAATTCTCTCTTTGGTCTTTCTCTGGTGTCTCTCTGGAACAAGCTGTTAGCAAAACGATATGTCCTGCATCTCAACAAACAATATCTTCAGGCAGTGGGAAAAAGTGGGAACATGGGTTTTCCAGGGTGGCTAGAAGAGTCAGTGATTAGTCTAAGAGCTCACTTTAAGAGTCTGTATTCATATAGAACAGGGGTCTCCAACCTGTAGCTCGGGAACCACCAGTAGCTCACCACCCCCTTCCAGGTAGCTCGCCAAAGGATTTAGAAATGAACAATTCAAATAATATACTTAATATTTCAGATTGAATAATTCTATGTTATTATTTATTATTTTAAATGTACTGACAAATGCAAAAAATAGATCACCAAATTTTTCCCAGGGACGCTTAAAGGAGTAGCTCTCTGCCTTTATCGTCCCGGGAAAGTAGCTCTCTGGGTGGAAAATGTTGGAGAGACCTGATAAAGAACCTCCAGAACAGGCAGCTCACGGTCCTCTTTCAGAGCGGAGAACCTTGTTTTCAGCTCTCGGTTTTTGGCCGTGAACCACAAGTCACATGATGCAGCGATAAAAGTGAAGCAGAAACTTAGAGTTAGTGGTGAATTCTCTAGGTTTCCGCAGAAAGAAAAGACGTTGACGATCTTTCTTAACCTGATTCTACGATCTGTTGTTGGTGACATTGAGCTCTCCTCTCATGACCCGGCCCAGAGTTCCTGAGGCCGCAGTCTAGACCAGAGTCAGCTCCGTCGCTCTGGACTTTGACGTGTTTTACATTGAGACACGTTTGTTTTGGCGCAGAGACAAAACGATCAATATTTACAGAAGTTGAGCTGTGTATTGAAGGAAAACAAAAACCCAAAGGGAATAGAAAAGAGGCAATAGTTTCACGTGTGAGGATTATATTGTCCGTCGGTTTTTTACTTCTTTTGTTTACTTGTTTTTTCTTCAAGCACGTACCTTAAGCCAATGAGCCAAAATACAGTTATTGCTGATTACAATTCAAGCTACAATTTCCTGTAACTTGTGTGTATCCAAGTCATGCATCCATCAAAATACAATGTTAGATACGAACAGAACTAGATTTGAATAAATTGAATGTGTAGATTAATCAAACACAATTTTTTCTTTTCACACTCTGGGTTAAGCGTATCCTAGCTCTGGTTTTAGTCCTGGTTTAGACCTGTTTTAGTCCTGGTTTAGACCTGTTCTAGTCCTGGTTTAGACATGTTTTAACCTATGCTCAGACCTTCAGGCCTTTTTACCCTGGTTCAGTCTTAAATTAGACCTGGTTTAGTTCTAGTTTTGACTTGTTTTAAAGCAGTTTTAGTCCTGGTCAAGACCTTTTTTTAGATCTATTCTAGTCCTGGTCAAGACCTGGATTTGTCCTGTTTAGATATGTTTTAGTTCTGCTTTAGACCTGGTTTAGACCTTCTTTAGGTCATCGGTTTAGTCTTGTAACTAAACAGGCCGAGAAAAGGCTTGTTTCATGGGACACATGGCTCCTCTAAATCCACACTTTACTGCTACAAACTCTGCTCGTTTTGCACCCGTTCTAACTCCCGCTCTAGCTCCGCTCTGATCAGCAGCTCTGATTGGTCAAAGTGCGGCCAAGCCCCTCTGTGCACGTGCATGAGAGCCACACACGCATATTTGGCGCAACGCATCATGAGGCTCGTCCACTGCGCAGAACCGGGAGGACCAGACGATGGCCAAATATAGGCGAGTTCCGCTAATATGTCAGCGACCGTGCCGGTGTAACGCTGAGATACACTGCCTTGAAGAGATGCACTGCCTCAGCTGTTTATGATGTAATGCAAACCTGCGCATGCGCGTCTCACGGCAGCCGAAGCATACCAAGATGGCGGACCGTGAATTTCTTTAAAAGTTAAAATACGAACGAATTAAGACCCGAATGTCACTTTTAATGCAATTTGAGGCGAGATGTTGATGGTTCCATGTTGTCACATGTGGGTTTTCAGAGTCAAAGTTTCATGCAAAGTTTAGTTTAAGCAGTCAACTGCGCCTGTGAAACCACAAAGCTAATGTTTTCATAGCAGTCCGCGGCTGCTGACGTAGGCTGATGACGCGTCCTGTGGCCACTCTACAGCTCACAACTGGTCTGTCGGGTGACAAAACGGAACATCAACATCTCGCCTCAAATTGCATTAAAAGTGACATTCGTGTCTTAATTTGTTCGTATTTTAACTTTTAAAGAAATTCACGGTCCGCCATCTTGGTATGCTCCGGCTGCCGTGAGACGCGCATGCGCAGGTTTGCATTACATCATAAACAGCTGAAGCAGTTCATCTCTTTAAGGCAGTGTATCTCGGCGTTACACCGGCACATGCGCCACTAAGCACAAACCATTAATTTGAATACGGCGCCATCTTGAATCGGCGGGGCTTGGTTCTGGTTCTAGTTGCTGGTTCCGCTCTGGTTCTTGTTCCTCTCAGCTGGCCCTGTGGTTGTGTGTTTGGAGCCAAAAAACTCTGTAGAGTTGTAAATCTGACTTGTGGGAAGAGGATCGCGTTTAGAGCCGTAGCCAGAGTACAAAACACAAAACCTATTCTAACGAGATGCAGACAGCATGTGGTCTTTTACTTTTTACAACTCTCCAGTCGATGCAGTGAGTAGAGGATGTAGATGAATAAACACACATCACATCCATTACATTTTATCTATTGTTCTTTCTTTATTTTTTTGTATTTTTTATTATGTTTTTGTGTGTCTTGGTTTTATTTTGTGTAACTATTGTTTTATACTTCATTATTATTATTATTAATTATATAATTTTTGACACAAGGGGAAGATGGTGTTGAAAAAGATAATAGAACATAAATGGTGTCTTGCTTTGCTGTATGTAACATGAAAAATGTGAGAACTAATAAAGATAGTAATAATCATAATATCAAACTTATAAGTACTTTTTTGGACACTGAAAGACGCTTAGAGATGACATAATAAAGTAACAAAGACAAAGCATAGTAAATGGTCCTGTCCTGACATTTCCCCCCTGTAGGATGAATAAAAGTTCTCTTGTCTTATTCTTTTGGCTTGTTTTTCCTCTTTCTTCTCAGGAGACCTTCCCTTCCCGTGTCTGTCGGCGTACGGCTCGTCTAAAGCTGCTCTCAACCTCTTCATGAACACTCTGAGGCACGAGCTGACGCAGTGGGGAGTCCAGGTGTCCACCGTGCTCCCGGCCGCTTTCAAGACCGGTAAATAATAATCCTCTATACGTCTATCTATGGCAAGATTCAGCCTACAAGCTCCAGTCACCACAGCGATTGTAGAGATACTGTACATATTAGCTCATTGAAATTAAAATGGGGAAGTGCTCACAGACTAAGTTTGGCTCTAATTCACAGCAGGCGTCCACAGAACTTTACAGAGAACACAGGAAATGCAATATTAACAAACACACCAGAGCCAATGGTCAGTAGGGTGAAGGATGGCCACTGTCCATCATGAAGTGAGATACAGGAAGGAATACCAACAATTATGGTTTAATTATGATAAAATAAAAGTTTAGGTGAAAACAAAATTCAAAAATCCAGGGAACGAGGAACAGGACAGATATTGACGATGCAATGGACCAGGCACAAGAGGAGAGGAGCACAGGTACAAATAGACACAGACACAGGTGAAACACACATTAGGGCGGGGCAGACAATCAACACACAATCATATCAAATTTTAAAAAGAAATGAGGTAAAAATAAAACCAAGTGCAAAAATAAAATCCACAACATGACATGTCCAGAAATGTTTATAAATGTCCATAAATGTCCAGGATCATCACTGTCCTTAGACCCTCCTGCATCTGCAAGGGACCATTCAAAAACCCAGTGCGAAAAAAGTGAGAAACCTCGGGAAGGCCCACAATGAGAGAGGGGTGTTTGTAAATTCAGATATGAGCGATAAAATAATTGACCAATCAGTTGCCTTGATTCTCGGGGGAAACTCCAGCTTGCCTTAGCAACCGTCTTAGCAACATATCTGCCACTGTTACGGAGCAAAGCTAACGCAGCTGTAGCTAGCTTCTGCTCGGCTTCTCCCGCATTAAGGCCAAAACTTTGGAGACGTCACACCCACTTCTGATACACGGCCTATGGCTATTGTGGTTGTGGTGCAGCCAGTGGAACGGGGCATTTCATGGATAGAAGAAAGAACAAATCTCAACAATAACATGTGCTTCCACTCACAACAAAGGGCACTCAGACCAGTCAATTGTAAATATCTTGGATTGGTGCAGTCTGTTTGGGTGAGGTTCTGGTCTTTCTTCTTGCTCCCATTGAGACCAACGCTGACATAATGGATCCCACATGAAGTAGCACATCTGTTGATCTTCGAAGTGATCTGAAATACATGTGTGCAAAACCAGACTCCAGTGACCAATGCGTCTCTATTAGAGCTGACCCGTGCAGAGGTATAATTTGTACCAGGAGAGACCATGGTATATATGGATCTACAGTTACACACAGGAGAGACTGGTGATTGTGTGATGATTGTGTTGGAGTGCAGGTGCCAATAGGACTCTACAGCTCTATGGGGGAGAAAACACATTTTTTAAATCAATGTCATGTCATTTTACCAGATCATGAATTGATGGTGATTAGATTCGCAAAGACGATACATGCGTATTTTGTCTGAAAAAATCTTTCTAATGGACAACATACAGCATACAGAGAAATAGACCAGAGAGAGGGACTGTAATGAGAGACATGAGAGAGAGACCAGAGAGAGAGAGAGAAACCTGAGAGAAATAGATCAGGGAGAGGGACCGTAATGAGAGACCTGAGAGAGACCAGAGAGAGACCTGAGAGAAATAGGCCAGAGAGAGACTAGAGAGAGTAACCAGAGAGCAAGAGACCAGGGAAAGAGGGACCAGAGAGAGTTACTGTAATGAGACCTGAGAGAGAGACCTGAGAGACCAGAGAGAGAGACCAGAGAGAGAGAACAGAGAGAGAGATCAAAGAGGGAGCAGAGCAAAAGACCAGAGAGAGGGCCGGTTAAACAGAGGCAGTCGAGTAGAGTAGGGCCAAGTAGGGCTGGTGGAAACAGGGCTTATACTGTCCTGACCTTCTCAAGTTCTCAACTTCTAGTTTGGCCATTTGATAAACAGTTTAGTTTTTCAACTCTTGGTTAGTGGTTGAGTGAAGTCATTTGTTGTCAACAATGGTTAACAATTCAAACCTGTTTATTTCAACTTGGGAGGCCAAAATCACCAGCATTTGTAAACTTGTGCGATTGGGAAGTTTTTGTTGGCGTTACGATTGAAACAATATCTCTGAAACACACTCGAAACGCATGAAAGCATTCGGCCAATAAACTTATGCGTACAACTGTGTTCAAAGGATCATTGAAATATAAGAGTTTTACTGAGTTTACCCATTGCACGATCATCGCAGCTAATTACTTAAGTTCAATTCAATTCAATGTGTTAGGACTTTACAAAGTTGTTAATTCGCAGCAAATGGAATAATAACAAACACATTGATCCATAAGGAGCAGAATGACCAAATTTCCCAAATCCTCAGTGTCTGTGCATCCTCCTGCATCAGCAACAAACAAAAAAAAAATAAAATAAATCAAACTGTGAGAGGCTGTGCTTAAATGGCCCCTATGTCTCCGAAGATAATATTTTCAGTCTTAAGTCTACGGCAACAAATAAAAAATTGTTGCCACCACAAACAACGAATGATCCATGACCTGATCCGACTTGTGCTTAAGGTGAACAAATTACCCGTTCTTCTCTTTTGACGTCTTTGGGCTTAAACAGAAAAGCATTAGCAGATGACTCCAGCTTTACTTTGGCCTTTCTACAAACTTAAATGATTAAAGCATCAAAGTTTCATCCAAGGAGTTGCGTATCATTTGGCAAGTTATAAAAAGCAAATCTCTTAAAGTTAAGTCAAAAAGTTGGGGTTCTTTGACAAAGTTTTGCTCAATTTTTTTCGACAAATTTGGACGTCAGCCGAAAGGAAAGGCAGAGTCCACAAATCGCACCAGGATTAGGGTTTAAATCCTGTCTGAGAAAAAATCCGTTCTACTGGGATTAAAATGTAAAAAGGTGGGATCAACTGTTCCGCAGCAGATCTTCCGTTCTCTGTTAGTCAACATGCACCCACGCAGAAAAGCAAGGTCAAGCCACGTCTGCAAATCCACCATTTTGGCTCCACACCTTTGTTGTGTGGATTTAAAGGATACAGAATATGCAATAGAGAGATGATGGATTTTATTTTTGGAAAACAATTGAACCATGGGATCAATTTATTTCCATTATTCATTGTTCGAAACAGTTAAGTTTTATCATTAATTTTTCTATTAACACTGAAAAGAATTATGAAAAATAAATTTAGCAAATTTAGCAAAATGTATCAAAATGTCATCACATTTTGACTTTGACCTGAAAACAAGATTTGCCAATGGGACAAGCAAAAAAATGTCTTCCTTAGAATGACAAAATAAAGCAATAGTTCTGAATGGACAATGGACTATCTGAATGGGACAAAAGTGTTGTCCATGGGACATGGTTTCTCATTTTTTTCAAATAAATATATTGGATTTTTTTAGATTGAAATCTGGGGACCAGAGCAAAAATCAAAAATTAGCGTAAATTAGTTTAACTTCACCAGTTTTTTTTCTTATCTACTTGGTATAGTTATTTGTCTGAGGGATTAGTAGGTTAAAACAAACGTGTCCAAAACTAACTAATTTCAGACTAATATACAATTATAACAAAGCCCTTGTTTCGTCTGTCTCTCCAGATTGAAGTATTCCTATTGATTATTTTTGTATTTCCTTTGCAGGCCAGTCCTCCAACCAGGCCTACTGGGAGCAGCAGCACAAGTCCCTGCTGCAGTCTCTGTCTCCATCTCTGCTGGAGGAGTACGGCGAGGACTATCTGACCGAGACCAAGGAGCTGTTCCAGTCTCACGCGCGCACCGCCAACCCGGACCTGAGCCCGGTCGTGGACACCATCGTGGAGGCCCTGCTCAGCCCGCACCCGCAGGCGCGCTACTACGCCGGTCCAGGGGTGGCGCTCATGTACTTCATCCACAGCTACTGCCCGTTCAGCGTGTGCAACAAGTTCCTGCAGAAACTGTTCATGCAGAAGAAGCTGATGCCGCGGGCGCTGAGGAAGCAGACCGCGTTCCAGATGGACCTGCACCACAACAACAATAACAACAATAATAATAATAATAATAACAACAATAATGACAAGAAGTTTGTGAAGTGAAAGAGGAAAGAAAAAAAACCTCATGGACAATGTTTCTCATGTGAGGAGAGATGGTGCTGAAGCCATGTTTTACCGTGAACGGGATTGGGTCATGTCTGGATTACACTGTACTTTCTGGACTATAAGACGCACCTGTGTATAAGCCGCACCACCTGAAATTTGAAAAGAAAATCGAATTTTGGCCGCTCTTGAATATAAGCTTCACGTTGTAATGTCGCAGATAGACGACTGTATTAACTGCTCACAACAGGATTTAATGACAAATTGTTCAACAGCGTCACCGTTAGCTTCATGACAACTCTACCACGACAAAAATACACATATTAGCTGCATCGCTATATAAGACGCAGGGATGAAGACCAAGAAAAAGAAGCGGCTTTTAGTCTGGAAATTACAGTATTTTTCATTTCCATTGGATTAAAGGAGACCTACTATACAAACCTGGGCTTTTAGAACTTTTAACCAGGATACAAGATACTTTGTTCTAGATCAAAAACAGACCAGGAATTGTTTTTTGACTCATCCACTGGCCCAAACATATATCTCCGCCCCTTATGGGTGTCAAAGCAGTACTCAAAGGGTCAAAAAGCTCCTGTATCAGTCCTGGTACAGTATGATGTCATTGCACCAGTATGACATCACACTTTGACACATGCAAGAGTAGACTGCAAATACATCTTTAAAAAAATGATTTCTTCAGCTGTCTCCTCCAGACCACTAAACAAAATATTTGTGCATCTCCCTAAATCCCAATAGCAGCTGTCTCAGAGGACTTTACAAAGTTGTCAATTGACCAACAACACATTGGAGAAGCAAACAATTCAAACAAAGAAAATGCAATAATAACAAACACGTAGGATCCATTGGTCCACAGGGAGCGGGATGACCACTGTCCAGGAATGTTAATAAATGTGCAGAAATAAATGTGGGACATGGCTTCATTTGCAAAAGAAAATCTCAATGGTCGACTTTCCGGACCTCTTATACCACTCGTATGTCTTCTTTGTAAGTTATTTTGTTCAAGAAACCAATTTGAAGGGATCAAAACAATGCTTTTTATGTATTTTTTCTGGCCCGTAAACAGACAATGAACTGAATTTTGAGTTACAATGGAAGCTTGTTTATCCGACTCACAACATTTGTCTTGAGCCATAGACTGAGAGCGCATATTTCACCAACGTGTACTAAATGTTTTTGCTGAAAATTCCACCTGCTGCTTTGAAATCATATCTGCAAGTAACCTTTGGAAACCGAGGGATGTCCCGGTGAGGATTTGGTATTGTAATATACAGTAATATTTGTTGAATCGAATATTGTTCCAACTCCAAGACCAAGTCCCGCACTGTGAAAATATATGAAAAGTAGTGGAGCTTAACAATATCAAATCTGCAGAAACTACTTATAGATGTTAAAAGCCAAAAGCCAAAGTATCAAAATCGGCATCAGAATTGACAAATAATGGTGCGTTATCGGCCACAGATCCAGAGCCAGTGTACATACTTGTATTGTATGTATTGAAATGTAGATACATTTATGAACATTTGGATCGGAAATTGGTATCAGGAACATAAGTAGCAACTTATTTTAGAAGTGGACTGACCGAGTGTGACATCACCATTGTGTTGGCCTTAACGTGACAGGGGCCGATTTGAACAAAAGCTAGCTGGAGCCAATTTCCTGATGTGAGCATTTGTTCTGACAGCATTAGCTTTGCGTCGTAACAGGGGCAGGCGTGTTGCTAAGATGGTTGCTAAGGAAATCTAGAGTTTCACTGGCGAAGTAAGGCATCTGATTGGTCAATTCTTATATGGGTCATATCTGGATTTCTAAAGGCAATAGTATTGATTTGCCAAGCCCTAAATGTTGAGTGTGACACAAATGGTTACTGAGCTGGAGGAGTTTACTTTTACATGGAAGTCAATAGGAGTCAGAGCGAGTTGGAGCAAAACCTCACTATCAGCATTTTCCTATTGGGCTCCATGAGCTACCGGGTTAGCATTGTTTGTCTATACACAGTCTGTTCGCATGTTCATATCAGGAGCCAAAACACCTGATGAGGACATCCCTGTTCAAAACTTTTTCAAAACCTCGATCTGTTGACTTATCTGACCCATGTCGGCCGGTGGTACTTCTCCATAGATTTGTATATTTTCTTAAATGACAAAGAAACCAGAAAACATGTTTTTATATTTGTTGGAGCACAACTTTATTCTTCGTTTTCGCACTAATATGAAAATGTCCACAAATGTAAGTCAATAGAATCTGTACAGCACAAATAGGACTATTTTAAGAAGATCCATATATATCCATCCTGCTATATCCATCTGTTTTGTATTTAATATTGTGATGTAAATTTACACCCTTTTTATATTGTTTTTTTAAACTGTATTTTTGCACATTCATCGTGAGTCTGTCGCTAAAAACGTTTAAGTTAATCAATGATTATATTGTGTTTTTTAATCCAACTATTTATATTGTATTTTCTGTATCCACATGAACTGTGAATTTTTGTAGAAAATATATCAAAAATTAAGAAAAACAACAATAAAGATTGTAAAATGTTCACATTCAGAAAAAACTTTTCAACTTTAAACTTTTTTTTGCTTTTGTCGTTGTTTTTAAATAAATCAGGAACCCTGGTTAACCTGTTAAAGCTTCAATCTAAATGTATTTTTGCATAGCTTTAAACAACAGCAGCAGTTTTCTTTTTTTGTTGAGGTCGATTCCTCAACAACAGATCAGAGAATCAAATGCAATCATAACAAAAACACAGGAGCTGTTGGTCCATAGGGAGCGGGACGACTTCTGCCCAGAACTGTCCTCACTGTCCTTAGATCCTCCTGCATCGGCAAGGAACCACTCAAAAACTGGGAAAAACCATGGATCTATTATAATAACTGGATAGGGTATTACTAGCTTGTAGCTGAATAACCCATGTGCTCGGGGGATTCTCGCGGTACTGCAGACTGAACCAGACTAAATTCACGTGGGCTACCCAGAAATTTTCCCCATAGAACTCAATGCATATTAAAACAGCTCAACCTCAGCTGACAGAGAACCTACAGCCCTAATAAAGGTTGGATTTTGTGGGGATTTTAGTGTCCCTTGTCATCCTGAACTTTTTTTCTTCGTAAATCCTTCGGTTTTGTTTAAATCCACACTTTAGTGCCACAAACTCTGCTCCTCTGGCTCTCGCTCTAACTCCCGCTCTGATGAACTGCTCTGATTGGTCAGAGTGCGGCCGAGCCCCTCTGTGCACGTGTGTGAGACCCGGTGTGAGACCCACACACGCGTGTTTGACGCAACGCATTATGGGAGATCATCCACTGCGCAGAACCGGGAGGACCAGACGATGCCCAAATACAGGCGAGTTTCCCATAGATCTTTGCGAGTTTCAGGCAACTTCCGCTAATCTTTCAGCCCCCATGCCGTCACAAAGCGCCACTGAGCACAACCATTCATTTGAATAGGGCGCCATCTTGAATCGCCGGGGCTTGGGAAAAACAGAGAAACCCCGGGGAGGACCACGTTGTGAGATGGATTTGCTCTCAAAGGCTGTAGATCCAGGATAATGACAACAACAACAAAAAAACAGTAATTGTAAATAAAACCAATAATATACTTCACATTCAGCAAATACACACCTGTTGTTTCCTTTGGGTGTTTGATTTCCACACACACACGCAAACACACACACACATACACGCACACAGACACACACACAAAACCACAGAACAGCTTGAGTAAGTCGCCTGTATCTCTCCAAATACTTTGGAGGTGATGGACTTTCACCATCGACTCCCACTGATTACTGTCGTTGTGTCCTTGGCAAGACACTTAACCTCTGGGAACACCAGCCACAGTGGGGCGGCTGCGGCTGTAAAGTGCCAAACTGCCGTTGTGTCCTTAGGCAAGACACTTCACCCCCATTGCCTAGAATGAGTCTGGTGTGTGTGTGAATGGTTGGTGGTGGTCGGAGGGGCAGATGGCACATACTGGTTGCCTCGCTTCTGTCAGTGTGCCCCAGGGCAGCTGTGGCTACTGTAGTAGTTTATCACCACCGTGTATGGAGTGAATGAATAATAACACATGTGAAGCGTCTTTGAGTATCCAGAAAAGCGCTATATAAAACCGATGCATTATTATTATTATTATTAAATACATACATTTTTATTCAAGTTTGGCTTTTCCCTGTGCTCTTAAACACATCACAGCTGTTGTCTCATTAGGATCCGGTTCACGTGCAGTAGAATCGGCACCAGCGCCTCCAGACGGACTGGTGTTTCCCTCCTCAGTCGCTGCATCAGATTCACAAGCGTCGGAAACATCAAATCTTTGTAAACTCCCTCATAGTTGAAAAGGACAAAGGATGAAAATGACATATGACATGATTCAAAAATGTGAGTTTATACTTGACTACTGTAAAACCATGGGACCTGAGCCCAGTGAGCGTGTGTCTGCGGCCTCCTCCCGCTCCACAGAAATGACCCATTGACCCATATTGGAGTCGCACCTCGTCTGACCCCTTATGTGGAATGTATGTAACAGCTGTCGCAACACGGCTGAGCTCCAAACCAAACAGCATGTAAGTAAGTAATTTTTATTTATATACCGCCTTTCACAGACCAGAGTCACAAAGCGGTTTACAATTATTATTTTTTTTGGCTTTTATGAACTTCTGTAAGGAAGTAAATACATGTATAGTGTCCATTTTTCACTGGCACATACAAAGCCTTCTGTGGTCTCTCATCTTTCGAGGTAATGAGACAATATACGTCTCATTACGTCTCAAGGTGGAAAATATCTATGTTACGTGTTTTTGCAGCTGAACATATGAAAGGTTCTCTTTGAAATACTACTAAATTACAAAACTTAAAGGTCCCTTACTATAAGTCGATTCACCTTTCGTGGCCGTGCTGTTTCTGTGATATTTTTTCTTGTAGGCCGTGGGAATACTCAAACAACATGATATATTTGCACAGAGAGTCAAAGAATTTTCC